GGAAAGCATCTTCTGCATCCTGCTGGTTGTGGAAGCGTTTTCCCTACAAAAAGTTGTCGAGATGCTTGAAGAAGTAGTAGTTGGTTCGTGAGAGGTCAGGTAAATATGGCGGATGAGGCAAAACTTCATAGCCCAATTTGTCCAACTTTCGAAGTGTTGGTTATGTGACATGTGTTCGGGCATTGTCATGGAGAAGAATTGGGCCCTTCCTGTTGACCAATGCTGGCTGCAGATGTTGCAGTTTTCGGTGCATCTCATCAATTTACTTAGCATACTTCTCAGATGTAATGGTTTTGCCAGGATTCAGAAAGCTATAGTGGATTAAACCAGCAGCAGACCACTAGAGTGACCACTACCTTTTTATGGTCAAGTTTGGCCTTGGGAAGTGCTTTCGAGCTTCTTCTCAGTCCAGCCACTGAGCTGGTTGTCATATAAAATCCACTTTTTGTAGCACATCACAATCTAATCAAGAAATGGTTTGTTGTTATGTACAAGAAAAGATGACACTTCAAAACAACAATTTTTTTGATTTTCAGTCAGCTCGTGAGGCACCCACTTATCAAGCTTTTTCACCTTTCCAATTTGCTTCAAATGCCTAACAACCATAGAATGGTCGACATTTGAGTTCTTCAGCAACTTCTCAAGCAGTCGTAAGAGGATCACCTTCGATGATTACTCTCAGTTGGTCGTTACCAACTTCCGATGGCTGGCCACTGTGTGCTCCTCATCTTCAAGGCTCTCGTCTCCTTGGCAAAACTTCTTGAACCACCCCTGCACTGTACGTTTGTTAGCAGTTAGTTCCTGGGCCAAACGTGTTGTTGATGTTGCAAGTTGTCTCTGCTGCTTTACTACCCATTTTGAACTTGAATAAGAAAATTGCTAGAATTTGCTTTTTGTCTAACATCACTTCCATAGTCTAAAAGAAATACAAAATAAATAGCAAGTAATAAGTCATTAGCAAAAAAATATAAAGTGAAAAAAGCACATTAAAATGATGTATAACATAACCACATTTATTTAAGAATGTATTCCAGTATCAAACAGCGAATGTCAGCAATGCTAAAACCACAATTACTTTTGCACCAACCTATATATCTCTTTGTATTTTCTTTCCTTCTTTTTTGTAGTTGCTTTAGGGATTACAGTATGCATCCTCAGCTTATCACTGTGAACTGAGAGTTAATATTACAATAGTCCCCCTTCATCTGTGGTTTTGCTTTCCATGGTTTCAGTTACCTGCAGTACAGTACAATAAGATATTTTGGGAGAGAGACCACGTTCATATAACTTTTGTTGTAATATATTGTTATTGTTCTATTTTATTATTAGTTATCGTTGTTAATCTCTTATCGTGCCTAATTTATAAATTAAACTTTATCATTGATATGTAGGAAAAAACATAGTACAGGTTGAGCATTTCTAATCCAAAAATCTGAAATGCTCCAAAATATGAAACTTTCAGAGTGCCCACTTGATGCTCAAAGGAAATGGTCGTGAGAGCATTTTGGATTTTTGGATTAGGGATGCTTAGTTGGTATGTATTGTGCAGATACTCCAAAATCCCCACAGATCTGAAACACTTTTGGTCCCAAACATTTTTTTTTTTCTTTTTTTTTTTGAGACAGTCTCACTCTTTTGCCCAGGCTAGAGTGAGTGCCGTGGCATCAGCCTAGCTCACAGCAACCTCAAACTCCTGGGCTCAAGCGATCCTACTGCCTCAGCCTCCCAAGTAGCTGGGACTACAGGCATGCGCCACCATGCCTGGCTAATTTTTTCTATATATTTTTAGTTGTCCGATTAATTTCTTTCTATTTTTGGTAGAGACGGGGTCTCGCTCTTGCTCAGGCTGGTTTCAAACTCCTGAGCTCAAACAATCCGCCCGCCTCGGCCTCCCAGAGAGCTGGGATTACAGGCGTGAGCCACCGCGCCCGGCCTGTCCCAAACATTTTTGATAAGAGACATTTAACCTGTGTGTATTATGGTTTAGTACTATCAAAGGTTTCAGGCATATGCTAGAGTCTTGATTCTCTATAGATAAGGGGGCATTACTGTATACCACTTCTTATAAAGTGTAAGAACCTTGCAACAGTATAGTGTGGGACCAAAATACTGTATGTTAAACATGTTCAGATTTCTCTATCCCTTGGCCTTGGTTATTCACCCAAACTGCTTTTCTGTTTCTCTTTTCTTCCCTAGCAGACTTCCTTAATAAACATAGACCACATTAGCTTCCTCTGCTTTCTTACCACCACTTATTCTCTGACCCTTTCCAATCTAGTTTGTGCCCTATATGCCATTCCTATTCTACCCCTCAAAGCTATCTTAAGATCGTTTATGAACAAGTTGTCAGGTCTAACACCTCCTCCTTGGTTCTTAATCTTCTGTGACTACTGAGTACTGTTTGACACTGCCAACCATTTCTTCCTTCTTGGAATTCCTTTCCCTTGACTTTTGTGACACTGGACTCTTTATACTCAAGACAGTATATATAGTATATATTTGATTGAATGCTTAGCCTTTAGTCAAACCATGAATGCAAAACTTTGATCTTCCAAACCACAGCACTCTTTAGAAAACTTCTAAAATGCTTTGCCTGTAATACTTTAAAAGTACTCAGAGACTGAAGAAATAAAATTGACTCAGTCACGTATATTCATACTTCATCCTCAGCATTACTATAACACTTATAGATGACTGTTTTTATTGATTTTTTTTAGAAGGAATTTTATTTTAAGCCTTAACTTCCTACCTTGGTTATTCATTTGATGTGTGTGTGACATGGTGAAGGTTTGCACTCATGGATTGACAAATTATGCTACCCATTGCTACTTTTATGTCTCATACGCATCTCATGTACATACAGTGTCCAAACTGAATTCTTTCACACCCAACCTAGTTATTTGTTCCTCTTTGCATTCTCTGTCCCAGTGAGTAGGGCCATATATACTTAGTTACTCAAGCCAGTGACCAGTTATTCTTGATTCCCCCTAATTCTCTGCAATCAAATGTTTACAAAGAGGTCTTAGTTTTGTTTCCAGTTTATTTCTTTAACCTATCTCTGTGTACTGCCACCATCATTCCTTTATTCCTACAGTCTTAATGTTTTTTTTAATTAATATTTCTTACTGGATTGTTGAATTAATTTCCATCCTCTTGGAACTCCAATCTGTTCTCTGCATAACTGCCAGAAGTATCTTTCTGAGGGGCAAATATGGTCATGTTGCTCCTTTGCTTAAAAATCCTTTAAATTTTCTTCAATCTTTAGTAGGCAAAATTCAAATTCTTTGGTCTGGCTCCAGGCTAACTTTGCCTTAGGGCTTTTCTGTCTTCTTAATGCTATTGTGCCTGGAATACATTCTCTCTTCCCAACTTTGTCTGCCAGCTTAATTCTTGTTAATCCTTTAAAACTCAGTTTAGGTGTCGGCTCCTCTGGAACACTTTCCCCAATCTTCCCCACCACCTGTCCACCGACACACACACAAGTATGCTTCCTCTCTTATTCTCTTTTCTCTCCAAGTCTGTGATAGGTGTTTTAGCATTTTCTTGCTTCTATATATATTTATCGCTTCTATATGTATTTATCGCTTCTATATGTATTTATCTCCCCACTAGTCTGTGAAATCCTGAAGAATTGAGACTTTACGTTTTATTTCTGCATGTCTGTCTAACGTGGCCAACTAACTGCCCTTGAACTATCCTAGATTTATGCATTTTAGCTGGTGTTTTTAAGATTTCTGGTGAAAAAATTCAGAAATCACTTTATAAATAATTGGTTGTCCACACTAGGGGGAAAAAAAAACCCCAGGGGAAAAAAGTAAACAAACAATCCTAGCCCTTAATATTCTAAGTGGAGACTAACAATATTGGTAATAGAATAGTAGTTAAAAACTTGGTATGGTTTGAATTCAGGTTGTACCTCCTACATTTGTGGCCTAGGAAAGTTTTCTTTTCTGTGCCTTACATTCCACATCTGTAAAATGGTCATAATAGAAGTCGAGTCAGTTCTGCTATAAGTTTTTTTAAAAACATGGATTTGTTCTAATGTAATTAATATACTAGGAAATAATTTTCTTTGTTTATGTATGATTTTTGTCAGCAAAAAACTGCGCCCAGCTGGACTGAGCGCACACACCCCCCCCAAACATGTACCAGCTACCCCAATTTGTTGTGTGTTATAAACCACACATATCTAGCGTTAAAACTTTTCCTCTGATTTCAAATAACGCACTTTCTGCACCTTGACAATAACTCACAACCTACAACCATTTCAACACCCATTTCCACAAGAAACCTTCGGGTTTTTTTCAAGGTAAAGTACTATCTTTATTGTAGCATTTGTGGATTTCTTAACCATTTAGAATGTGTAGAATTGTGCTCCCATTTTTGTTGGGTTCCCGTTTTCTTATGTGTCATTGATGAAGTTTTTGAGTGTTGTGTTTCAACCTCCTTTTCCCTGTTAGCCCTTTGGTTTTTATTGTGGATTTTGTATAGTACGGTAACTTTTAAGAGTGCGTTTGTCATGTTGTAGCAGAATTGATTGTACTTCACAGGGTGGTTGTGAGAATTCATTTAGCACAAATAAAGCACTGAAAATGATGTCTTATACACAGTAAACACCTAATAAATATTAGACTCCATCATTATTATTATTATTGGAATAATTGTTATTTGGTCAAAACATTATGGTAATAAGAAATATTCATGCAGTTTAATCCCTATCTATGCCTGTTGTCTTTGGTTATAAGAGCCATTGTTAAAAGATATTCAAAGACTGATTTGTGATATTCAAAGATATTCAAAGTCTATTAGTCTGTTAGATGTGTATATTAATGTGTTAATTAGTTGAATGAGTGGTGTATCACACCCTAAGTGTAATATGTATGTCTATTGTCCTGAAATAAAATTTAAGCAAATTTTGGAACATACTTTCATTTATTGAGTACTCGAAAATTTACATTAAGTACATGATCTGATTCACATTTTGGGTTATTTTGTTGAAGGTTCAGAACGCTAAGCAAGTAAACAGTGCACTTAAACAGAAAATGGAAGGTGGAATTGAAGAATTCAAACCTCCTGAGGTATGTTATTAAAAAATATATGCTATTCAGTCTAGTGAAACTTTGTTCTTTGAGGTATTGTTCAATGTCAAAGTACTATTTTGGACATGTATGTGTTGTTAGTACTTTGAAGGTTTCATAATAAGGATAATTTGTTATGTCTCTGTTTTTTTCATTTAGATAGTTGATCTTTTGAGGCTTGGCTAATCGTTTTGTATTTAAGGTAAATTGTTTCTTTCCTGCCCATAATAATTCATATCAAGCAGAGTAATTAGGGAAAATAGTTATGGGAGTAGGCACAATGTGTGTGACCCCAAAAGCTCTGTGATGAGCAAGCCAGCGCATTTCTGGGTCTACAGCAGTGTTTGCTCAGAGCCCTTCCCTGCCTCTGTGAATTGGTAACACAGCAAGAAAAATGTCGCAAGAAAAGGAGTTTAACAAATTTTTGTTTTCATTTATTTGTTTTTTGGCTCAGGTTTCCAGTTAGGATTTTATTATGTAGACTTACATTCTTGTACTTCTATCTCTGAAAAAAAAATCTAAAAACAAGGTATAGATTGGTCATTTTTCTCAAGTCTTATTTGTATTTCAGTTGAAACCTAAATATGTTTTTGATATTCATGGTAATTATATGAGTACTTAAATGTCTTTAAGATCCAATCAAATGTTTTTATAGAAGCTTCTACTATGAAATCTTTTCTCTTTTCTCTCTCTTTTTCTAAGACTCCTATGTTATGCTTCATATCCTGAATTTGTCTTTCTGTGTGTGTGATAATCAAATAATCTTCTTTGGTCTTAATGGGACCTTCCCCCCGTCCCCCCTGCCACCCACCCCCAGATCACAGGCTGACTGAAATATCTACAGATGAAATATTTGCAAGGGGCTGGGGGAGGCGGAGAGTAGTACTTGAGAAATACAATGAACAACATGCCCTCTTAATCATTAGAATCTTTCAGAAAGGAAGACTTGTTATGAGGAAAGTTATTTTTGTTTGTTGTTTTGAATAATCTTTTTCAAGGTTAGGGTATGGAAAAGAATGGAGACTATATAGACTGATATCTCATGCCAAACCCACAGGTAAACTGACAAACATTCTAGTAATGTTTATTTAAGGATAGAGTAATACAAAAAAAATTTACCTTTTTTTGTTATATTATTGCAACAAATAATTATTTTAAATTTTGTATTAAAATATTTTAATTTTGTATTTATGTATTAAAATACATAAAAGCAAAAATCTTAAATGCCTATAATTTCATAATCTAAGTTAAAAAATATAGCAGATATTACAAACATGTGACTAGCAGGAAGCACTTTATGCTAACAAGTTTCAAAATTAAAATATAGAAATTCCTAGGAAAATGTCTTCCCAAAATTGTCTGAAAAAGAAAGAAAAGCTGAATCATATATAATCATTAGATAAAATGAAGGAATAATTTGACATTTTTCTTTCACAAGAAAACACCAGGCTGAGACATTTTTACAGAAAACGTCTGTCAAGTTTTCAAGGAAAGGATAATTGTAATGTCATATTTTTCATGAAATTACTGGACAGTTTCATTCACTAGCATTATGTAAAGAAAAATGTGAAAATGCAGTAGCGTTTTATAACTTTCCTCTGTGCTGCCTCATTTGGTCTTTACATGAATTCGTACAAGTACTTGAAGCAGATACTACTATTTTACATGAGGAAACTGGGACTCAAAGGGGTTAACTGACTTGTTCATGATCACAGAAGTAGTAAATAATGAAATTCTAGCTATATTTTAGATTCTTAGAGTCCTGATTGGAGTCCTAGATTAGTACATATCATGCTGCCTCTTACTTTTTGGATGTTTTCATATAATAGCAAAATTATATATTAGATTCTCAACATTTTAATACGGTTACTGGGTTAGAAGTTATTAAAGATTTATTATATCTTTTGGTTTATTGTAAAAATAATGATAAAAATAAAATAAGCCAAAATCTTAGCATTCTACCTTCTATGCATTGAAATTTGAATTTTACTTTGGGGATGATTTATTGAACTTACATGATTTGAAAAATATATATATATGTTTTATCATCTAGAAAATCCTCAGGATGTATTTATATTTATCATATTATTCCTACTGCTTTTGAGAGAAGGGCAACTTGAATATATTTCAAAATACTAGATGAACAATCACTGTAAAGACCTTGAAAAATCATGTAACCCATCCCCTTACCTTTAGGTTAGACGATACCTAATCAAGCAATGTTAATAACTTTTGGAATAATTAAAATAGGCCATTAAATGAAATAACTCCACTGGAAGTAAACAGTTACTAAAGTGCTTTACTTATTAATTTGGTTGTATTTGTTATTTTCATTGAGGGGAAAAATTTGGGGAAGAAAGTCTGTTCACCTCCACATGTTTATTCATTGCCTGTTTCACGTAAGGCACCATGTTAGGCACTGTGGGCAGTGTATATGGGAAGAGGGAAACACATAAAGATGAGGACAAGCTCAGGTGATTTTTTTCCACCTGCTTTAAAAATAACCTTGCACCTAGATGTTATAAGACAGACTGATAAAAGTTATATGATAGATTTATAAGCAAAATATACTGGAAAACAGACATTGTTTATTCTGGCTAGGATATCAGGGAAGGCTTCCTAGAGGGGGGATGTTTCAGCTGAGGTTTGAAGGATAAGTGGGGTTTTTTGCACATTCAAAAAGGGCAGAGGAGATCATTTCAGGCAGAGGAAATAATATGAGCAATGGTTTGGTATTGAACAGTACGTTGAAAATATAAATCCAGTGGGGGGAAATTAAAAGCACTTTTAAAAACCAATCAAAGGGTATTCCCTGAACAGTTACTATGTGCTCATTATTGTGCCAATTGCTAGTGAGAATTCTGTGGAAGTGTGAAACAATCTTTACTCAAGACGTGTATTGTCTGCCTAGGAAGGCTAGCTTGGATGCAGAGAAGGAATGAACACAGTAGATGAGAGATGGTAACAGGGTTGAGCAGGGGCTTCTTTGTGATAGAGATCAATGGGCAAGGGCCAGAATATAAAATTCCTTGTGAAAGCTAGAAAGAGAAGTTTCCCTTTTAAATTAAGTCATATGGAAAGACCCTATAGTTTCTTCAGTATAAGAAGGATGTAATGAAAAATTTTCATTTTAGGAAAATTATCCTGGCATTGTTATACAGGATAAATTAGAACAGGGAAACTTTATAGCTGCCAAAATAGTAAGTATGTGAGTGATAAATGGTAAAGGGTATTAGTAGGGTTGGGTATTAGTTGTAGGAGTGGAAACAAGTGATAAATTCAAAAAACATTGCAAAATAGGAAATTAACGTGTCACCTCGAAAGTACGTGAGAGTGAGGGTATTGGTGGCATGTTTTGTTACGAGTTGATTTGTTTTGGATGGAGATAAATAGGTAAGTGGGGGCAAGGAGAATAATGAATCCAGGAGGGAAAAATTATAACTGAAAAAGAAGTGCTTTTCGAAGGTAGAAATTTCCCATCCATGGATGTTTTCATGCAAAGCTGGGTGACATCCTTTCATTATGGATGTTGGATGGAATTTTCAGCATTGAGTAGAAAATTTAACTCGGTGACCTTTTCCAGCACCTCCAACACCTCCAACTCAGAGACAATGTGAGTCTGCCACTAATAAAAGTGACAAAGACGTAAAGACAAATTAATTTAGCAGGGAATCACTAAGGATGTCACAGATTATTTGTTCTAAAAGACTCTTTGGGACCTTTCATATTATTGTGATTATATTGTATTGTATATTATAATAGTATTTTTAAAACAACAGCGTTTCAGACTGGGGTTTCTGTAGAAGAATATACTCTGTGATACCATGTAGCTAACTGCAACGACCACACAGTTTTAGGTTCCTATTCTAGTTGTCCTTTTTTTAAATTAAATAAATCTCTAACAAGGTTTCTCGTGTGTAAAAGGCAATATAAAAGTCAGTAACTTACAGGAATCCTGTATAATTTGTTACTCACAGACCATTTAATCCTGTACAGTTTCAACTGTCCGTTCTGCAGTTTTCCACTGAAGCTGCTGCTTAAAGGTTAACATTGGCACGGATGATGACATTCCACAACTTTTAACTTCTGATTCCCCTTGCCTTTATCTGAGTCCTTGAAATAGATAACTACCTCTCTTTCTCTTCTTCCTTTAACTTTTGAGAAGTTATGTTCTCTTTTGTAGCTATAATGTTCTGTTCTCAGCTGTAGTTTTCCTTTCTCTGCATAAATATAGGCATTCTCTAAGTTTTTATCCTCAGAATTCATTTCTCTCTCTCCTGTCTTGGAGATACACAATCTTATCATTTCACTGCATTAAAGTTGTATCATATGTACATTTAAATGACACAAATTCATCCACGGACATTGAGCGAAATAGAGAGAATGTTTAATAATAGCAAATGCAGTAGTGCTGGCAATTCTGCCTAAACTCCATTTATTGAGTATATGCCCCAAAGTGAGCAGTCATGACCTGAGAACTGGCAATCCACTATTTTTTAATCAGTCATAGCTCCACATACCTTCTGTGCGAGTATCTCTTTAAACTGAAGGAGATTCTAGTAAATCAGTAAACAAACACATACTACCCTAAATTCAAACCAACAGCTTCATCTGGGGTTTAACTGAAAAGTGGCCCATTCCAGTGCTGGAGGAAGAATACCTGGCTGTGTGGATATATTGAGACACTGTGTGCCTGTCTCTGGCTACCTTTGTAAATTTCAAGATTAAATTTGAAAAAACAAATAACTTCAAAAAAAAATTCATAGGCTGATTTTATAACCTCATACTGAGTAAGATATGCCTCTGTTGTTTTCCCTTATAAACGTTTCCCAAACTCTTCAAAAATGTGTTTGAATGAGCGTATTTTAGCCTCAAGTGGAACCCGAATTCCACCTGAATGTCCTACCTAACACCTCATTCTCAGTGTACCCATGTTAAATTCCTCTTAGCCTTGCCTTCCCACATCTCCCACACGGCATTTCTTGACTTCTTACGTTCTTAACGGCATCAATTTTCCAGGCTTAAAGTCTTATTCTAGTTATAATTATACCCCTCACCCCTCTCCCCAAAGAACACAAGTATTACTTATTAAATTTAGTGTGAACTTACCAACCTTGATTTTTACTGCCCTTCCAAAAGTGGCTTTCTCATATTTTAGTTAAGTTAAATAATACCAATTTTCCAGGCTTATCACTTCTTCCAGACACAAATCCGGTTTTTCCCTACACAGAGAACGCCTTCTCCTCAGTTTTGCCTTTTAGAAACTTCTGTTCTAAAACCCATCTCAATCTCCAACCCTTCCCACTTTCCTTTTTCTTTTTCCCCACTTCAGTCATTGTAACTTTTTCTCCCATGTTTGAATTTCCCAATATACTCTATACTTTTTAATTTTAGTTAGTTAGTTGTATTCATCCAATCTCATTTTTTTGTAAGCTTCATGAAGTTTAGATGAAAATAAATTTTCATAATGCATGTTATTTCATTTTTTTTTTGTTCCCTTGTCATTAATGATACCTTTCCCTCAAGTTTCAAATTCAACAAACATGAATTAATCAACTTTTGTTTGTTCAGGCACTGTGCTAGATGCTTTTTTAGGTATATTCTAAATATATCCTCATATTTAATCCTTAGAGCAATTTGCAACATAGGTATTGAATGTACAGGAGATCTTCAATATCCAAATGCTTGTTAAGGAATGTATGGAGAAGCAAAAGTTGCCAAACGAGAACATGTTCACAACGAACTGATCATTTATAAAATCGGACTCTACTCACCAATTCTCCCTAATTAACATTAACTAGGGATGGGTTATCTATCCCATTCATCACATCATCCTTCTCTGTCACTCTCTTGCTAGTACAGTGCAAATACAGCACAAACAAAAATGAAATTGTAAACTTTGCAAAAGATGAGAAACTTCACGAGATCTGTTAAAGTGCAAGAGAATGACTTCAGTCACCTACAAAATCATTGTCAGATGAATATCCAGCAGAATTAACCATTGGAGAAAAAAAGATGATGACTCATAGGCAAGCACTTCAAAAAAGAACAATTTGAGTAACAAAGAATTAAGAGGCTTTGGAGAAAATTACTGAAGCCTTCAAAACAAAGATGACTCTATTTTACGATTATGTGAATTTCAAAGCCAAACGATCTTGCATCATTGTATAGTCAGAAAATATATGCCAAAAAATAAAACATGTTAACTAAATCACTAACTTTTTTTTCCCCCAGAATATTATGGGGGTACAACACTTTGGTTACATAAATTGCCTTTACACTACCTGAAAATCACTAACTTTTAAAAAAATTAATTTTCATAAATGTTAGTTTCATATTTCAGATTGAATTGCA